GCCTGTAAAACATTCTTAGAGCAAAAGTTATGAAGAGTTCAAAAAAGGCTTGTTTGAAGAGGAGGGGGAAAGGGAACTTTCTACTAATTAACCCTGGGTTGTAAAGCAGCAGGGAGGAAGGGTATGCAAGAATGTAGCCTTGAAAGTAGCTTATCTTGCCGGGACCGGTTTGGCTCAATGGATAGAGCGTCGGCTTGGGGACTGAAGGGTCCCGGGTTCGATTCCGGTCAAGGGCATGTACCTTGGTTGCGGGGATATCCCCAGTAGGGGGTGTGCAAGAGGCAGCTGATCGATGACTCTCTCTCATCGATGTTTCTAACTCTCTATCTCTCTCCCTTCCTCTCTGTATAAAATCAATAAAATATATTAAAAAAAAAAAAAAGAAAAAAAAGAAAGTAGCTTATCTTGTCCCTCAGTTTGAACAAAGGGGCTAGGCTGTTGGAATCAGAGGAGCTAACAGTCTCGGGTTTTAATTGCCAGGTGCTTCCCAATAATTGTGGAAGGCTACAGCAAAGAAAGGCTTTTCTTCCATCCTAACATATAGAACACCCCCCTTCCCCCCCCTTTTTTTGTGTGTCCACAAATGGCTAAAGACGAAGTTTGGGTCACATTCCTTGAGTCCCCCTGTTCTAGTCCTGGCCTGAATTTTCCTCATTGGTCAGCTGAAGGTACTGCTGGACTTCTGCAGCCAGGGTGTGCTCACATGTTATTTGTGCCTGGTGGTTTCTGGGGCTCCCTATCTGTGCCTCTGTACAAGTGTGCTCCGCATCTGCCTTGAGCTGCTCCCTGGGGCCCTGCCCTGTATCCCTCTCTGCTTGTCACTTTCTCCCTGGTTGCTGACTCTCCCTGAGTCATCTGGCAAGCCTGCTGCTGCAATGCTGTGGTTCCAGGCCCAGAGCCAGGTCTTCATAGGCACAGGTGTCCTCAGCCTGTCAGATCTTGTCATTCACCTGTGGGATCCCAGGCTTTGCCTGAAAACAGTGACACCTCTTTTAAAGTGAACTTGTGAACTGTCTGGAAAGGACTTCTCTGCAGTAGCTGTGACCTTAGCTTCCCTTGAAAATGCACTAGACAGACTAGAGGTTTCAGGAAACCACTAAGCACATTCAGCCACTCGTTATGACACACAGTGGCAGCACACCACTCCGGACACACACTTCTCTCCCTCTTTCTTCAGCCCCTTTCTGTCACCAGGACATCCAAGGAGGTGATTGGGGAGCATCAGCCCCTTATTTGGAGATACGTGTCCTGTGAGGTCTCTTTCTGTCTTTCCTTGAGACAGTCAGCTCCTGCCCCCAAACATCTAGTCTTTACTTAATCCTGGGTCCTCCCAGGTCCAATGTTCATTCATCAGATGTGTCCCAGATTTAATTTTCTCCTACAAAGCAGTGAGGGGAAAGGGGAAGAGAATACACCTAAGTCAGTGGGGTGCCACTCAGATTGGCACATCAGGAAATGCAGGTAACAGGTGACAAGTGACAGTCACACCTGAGTCTCCCCTTCTGACTGACACCACTCTTGACATGGAATTGAGTTGCTCGGTTTAGCATAAGCTAGTAGGATTTGCAAAATGACATTGTTGGAAAGAAGTATATATATATATATATATATATATATATATATATATATATATATGCGCTATAGTGTATATATATATTATATATATATATTATATATATATATTAATCCTCACCTGAGGATATTTTTCTACTGATTTTTGGACAGTAGAAGAGAGAGGAAACACAGAGAGAAATAGCCATATAAGAGAAAAACATCGATTGGCTACCTCCTGCATGCGCCCCAACCAGGGCCCGGGTCTGGGCCAGGGAGGAGCCTGCAACTGAGATATGTGACCACAGGCCAAGGTTCTATCCACTGAACCAGACTGGCTCGGGTGAGAAGTTATATGTAAAATGTCCAGTGTGTGTTCTGACCCAAGGAGACTGTGGATCCTCAAAGCCTTGATGGTGCGGTTGCCCCTTGGTGCCTGCCAATCGTTGCCTAGGTCATTGGGGGCTCCGTTTGCTTTTGCCTGCCCCTCTTTCTCTTTTGGGCTTTAAGCCTCGGCCTTTGACAGGCTGAGGGATGGGTTTTATTTTGCTTTGGATAAATAATTTGTATTGCTAGGTAGATGGACCCTCCATGCTTTTCTCTTTTCCCCAGTCATGTCTTTGCTGTGTCTGAGGAACAGAGAGATCAGTGTCTTTGGGCCAATAGAGACCCTTCTGTGGGAGAGCATCTGAGATTATCTCCAAGTGTCCCTCCTCCCCTCACCCTACCTACCCTGATTCCTGTTTGTAAACACACTGGAAAGGTGGAAAGCAGGACTCTCAGTCTCTTAAAGCCAAGGCCACCTCTTTTTTTTTTTTTTTTAATTTTTGTTGTTGTTGTTGTTGTTGATTTTACACAGAGAGGAATTGAGAGGGATAGAGAGTTAGAAATGTCGATGAGAGAGAAACATCAACCAGCTGCCTCTTGCACAACCCCACTGGTGATGTGCCCACAACCAAAGTACATGTCCTTGACCAAAATCAAACCCAGGACCTTTCAGTCCTCAGGCCGACACTCTATCCACTGAGCCAAACCAGTATCAGCAAGGCCACCTCTTAATGTCAGAGATTTTATTACATACTAGAGGCCTGGTGCACGAAATTCATGCACGGGGGTGTGTTTTCTTCAGCTCAGCCTGCACCCTCTCCAATCTGGGACCCGTCGAGAGATGTTTGACTGCCCATTTAGACCTTATCCAGGAAGGATTGGGCCTAAACGGGCAGTCGGACATTCCTCTCACAATCCAGAACTGCTGCTTCCCAACTGCTCGCCTGCTTGCCTTCCTGATTGCCCCTAACTGCTTCTGCCTACCAGCCTGTTCACCCCCTAATACTCTCCTGCCAGCCTGATTAATGCCTAAATGCTCCTCTGTTTCCCCCTAACTGTCCTCCCCTGCTGCCTGGTCACCCCCAACTGCAGGCCTGGTTCCTCCCAAATGCCCTTCCCTGCTGGCCATCTCGTAGTGGCCATCTTGTGTCCACATTGCAGGCAGTCATCTTTGACCACATGGAGGCAGCCATCTTGTTTGTTGGAGTGATGGTCAATTTGCATGATATTCTTTTATTAGATAGGACTGGATAGCATAGAGGCCTTATGCAGGGTGGGAGCCAAATGGTTTGCCCTGAAGGGTGTCCCAGATCAGGGTGGGGGTTCCCTTTGGGCATGGGGCGGCCTGAGCGAGGGGCCTGTGGTGGTTTTCAGCCTGGCCAAGGCCCCCGACAACCCAAGCAGAGGCCCTGGTATCTGGATTTATTTATCTTCTACAATTGAAACTTTGGAGCCTGGAGCAGTGCCAAGCCTCCTGCTCGTTCATGGCTGTAGCCATTTTTGTTAGGATTTATTTATCTCCTACCATTGAAACTTTCTAGCCTTGAGTGGAGGCCTGGGCCTGCCAGGGTGTGCAGAAAGCTTGGCTTCCTCTGTCACTAGGGGAAACTCAAGCCTCCTGCTCTCTCCAGCTCCATGGCTGCCTCCATTTTTATTGGGATTTATTTATCTTCTATAATTGAAACTTTGTAGCCTTGAGTGGAGTTCAGGGCAGGCGGAAAGCTTGACGGGGAAACCCAAGCCTCCTGCTCTCTCCGTGGCTGCAGCCATCTTGGTTGGGTTAATGTTCATACTCGCTACTGATTGGCTGGTGGGCATGACTTGTGGGTGTAGCAGAGGTATGGTTAATTTGAATATTACTCTTTTATTAGTTAGGACTAGAGTTCCAGTGCACAAATTCATGCACGGGTGGGGTCCCGCCAGCTGCAGGAGGTTGGATGGCCAGCCTGCCCCAATTGGGGCCTGATCAGGGCCAGGCTGGCTGGTGCAAGGGGATGATTGGGGGGTTGATTGGGGGCAGGGCTGGCAATGGGGAGGGGTTGTTGGTGGTGGATCGGCCAGCCCCGCCCTGAATGGAGTGGGTGGTGCCAATTGGGGGCCAGCAGCCTGGGGAGGGCGCTTGGGTGGTTGGCCAGCTGACCCCACTCCCTGAATGGGCTGGTTCGCTGGCCACAGTGGACATCATAGCAATCAGTCGTTCTGGCCATTATGGTCACTGGCTTTTTATAGAGAGAGATTGTCTAAATGTAATACAAGAAGAACAAAAGAAAGGTGATTTATAATAAAAGAATATGAATGTGAACTTGTTAAACAGGGCATGGCTACACCAGGTCTGCAGAGACTTTCAGAAGCTGCTGAAACCCCCACCCCCTACCCCCCACATGGCAGTTGCCGATGCAGCCTGGATGTCAGTGATCCCTTTTCCAAATGATGACTAGTCCCTGCAAAGTTCCCTACAGGCCACAGGGCCATTGCTGCTCTCCCACCAGTCTCCCCCCTGCCTCCCATTTTCATGGTAATTACAGTCCTGGGAAATCAGGTGGGTGTTAAAGCCAGACAAAATACATGTGTGTATGTAAAATGGAATGGGTTCTGGTCTCAGGCGGTCATTGGGGATATGGAACATCTCCTTCTGGCCCCTAAAAGCCATGGAGTCCCCTAGTTATCGTGACCACCCCAAACAGCCCTACAAATTTGCATTCCAATATAGAGGCTACCATAGAAGTGAAGCAAGTAGCAGCACAGAGTACCTTGTTTTAACGAATTGGCCAATGTGGCTGTGGGTGCTGACTGCAGTCTTGGGTCCCAAGGCAGTTTGGAGGCAGAATTCCTCTTCCTCGGGTGACCTCAGACTCTGCTCAGAGGCCTTCAATGGACTGGATGAGGCCCACCCGCATTATAGAGGGTCATCTGCTTATTTAAATTTAATCTCATCTGAACAATACATTCCCAGAAACATCTAAAGTGGTATTAGACCAAATATCGGGGCACGGCGACCTAGCCATGTCGATATGTGAGATTAATATCGCAGCACCTGACAAGGAAGTTGGAGAATGTTCTGTTTCTGTAGCAGGAGCTCGAAGGGTAGTCACCGTAAACATCTTCCTGTGTTTTCTCTGAAGCATAATGAGGGTGCAGCGGTCAGACAGTGGGGCGTATACCTGTAAGACGAAGATAAACAGTGAAGAGATCGTGTCTGACCCCATCTACGTCGAGGTACAAGGTAAGTGCAGAGGCCACAGAGCGGCCAGTATTAACTGCTTTGCACATAACACTGCAGCTTGGTGGGCCCATTTAGGACTCTGTGTAAACCTGGCAGACCTATAAGCACTGAGATTGTATGACTTCCTTGTCTGAGGTTATAATGAAATGAATTCACTTCTTAACATTTAGATCCATCCTAGGCACAAGGACTGAGATAAAAGAGATTGTTGACTTCTTTGTCCTGAGGTTATTTACAATTTTAAAAGTTGATGACTTTTTTTTTAAGGAAGCAAATGCATTCTATTACCTGGCTCTCAGTGCTGGCACCAGGTACCACTCCCTGGCCAGGTGGCAATTTGCTTGTTACTGAGCATCTTTTCTTGTCTGAAGTCTGTGGATGGTGAGAGCCCAGGAGGTGTCGGGGGGGTTTTCTGGAAGGGTCAGCAGCTCCATCTGGGACTCCTTTCAGGGTCCTAGCATTGGTCAGTGTTTAGTTCAGGGCATGTTTGGTTCTGTGACATGACAAGGCATGAGCGGGTGAGAAGTGAGGCGTGAGATGAAGAGAAGGCAGTCTCTACCCTGGTGGCACTTGAACTCCAGTTGGGAGTGTGAGCTGATGCACAGGTGAGCTGGGCCAGGTTAGCCCAGGTCCCTGGGCCTCAGGGTGTGCATGCCTGGTTCGGCAGTGGCAGGGCCTGGCAAGAAAGGCTTCAAGGAAGAAGCATCTTTATTGTCACCACCCCAGTGGTGCTCCCCACCCCCCAGGTGCTGCCCTCTGAGATCCCTGCATCCTCCCCTAGCTGTCTGAGGTTTCCACGAGCAGACTATCAGAACATCTTTCTATCCTACTTTGTCCTGACCCTATCCTCCTCATCACAGGCTGTAGCGCAGGTGATTAGCTTTCTGGGGACTTTTAACAGGAAACATCGTCCCCTAAAAGGCTCTTCTGCTACCAGGAGAAGAGGGGCTCTTTTGCCAACAGGAGCCTGGTGCCCACCAATGCTGCAGGCAGCCTGGGGGAGGCAGGTCCTCAGGAGTCTCTTTTATAGCTTTGTTCTCAGGTCCATCCCAGACTGGACAAGCTAGTATGTGTCAGCATGAGTTGGGGGCGGGGCCTCCGCATTGAGGCGGGGATAAGGGAGGAGTGGGGAGTCCTACATTTGCTGTTTATCTGGGAAAAATACTGAGAGGACATTTTACTTGTCAGAATCTCAGAAAAATGCCCAGAGCAGAGACATGTTGGGTCCAAATGGAGTTTTACACAACTCTGTAGCAGGAAAAATGTTTGCATTTACCACTCCCACATCATTCCTGTTGGGACCAGTTCTGTAAGTTTGCAGTCCCAAAAGAACACAGTGTAAATGTGTGAGGACAGTTAGCTTCAGCTGGTAAGTTTTTGGCACACACCCCAAATAAGTGAGCTATTTGGGTTCCTCTGAGATATTCCTGAAGTGCCCTTCCTTATTACGCCCTTGATCCTGGAACTACAGTTGGAGAACTTGGCTGTGACTGTAACTGTGTCTACAGTGTTTTTCTGAGACTGCGCTTAGCCCTATACTCACGCACAGATTTTAAAATTCCTGACACCCATCTCAAAGCCTCACACACAATCCATTGTCCTGAAAAGCAAGCAGACCTGTGGCGTGGCATGGTTCTTACTGTTTACTTTGGTGAGGAAGACTGAAAACCTGTCAGCCTGCCGCAGTGAGCTGGACTGGACTGGAGGAGATCAGCCTGTTCTCTTTCACACCCAACTTTCTGGGGAGAGCGGGCCCTTCAGACCTGAGATGGCGTAGAAGGAAATCTCCTGTGACCACGTTCTAGTAGTTGCCATTCCCCGTAAGCTGTGCCTTTGCTTGTGGTTATGAAACGTTCCTTCCCTTAACTCTTCCTCGGCAGGACTTCCTTACTTCACCAGGGAGCCCGAGAGCATGAACGTCACCAGAAACACCGCCTTCAACCTCACCTGTCAGGCCGTGGGCCCGCCGGAGCCCGTTGGCATTGTCTGGTTTCAGAACAGCAGCCGCATGAGTGAACAGCCCGAAAGATCCCCGTCTGTGCTAACTGTCCCTGGTGAGTCTGTGCGGATTTCTTTGTTTTCTCTCTAGTAGGGGAGGGAGCACACGTTTGCTGAGCACTGCCATGCTCCAGGAGGAGGAAGACTAGTGTAGCAGCTGGGGGGAGGGGAGGGGAAGGAAGGGAGGGAGAAAGTAGATAGGGAGGCAGGCAGGGGCAGGCAGGAGTCTTGGGGTGGGAGGTGGCTGAGTGCACTGTGAGGGTATCCGTGGTGCAGGTGGGGAAGCTGGCGAATGCCCCAGGCAGGGCAGTGGAGCCGGCTCACGTCTCCCACAGCAGCTGTGGCCTCACTGGATGGCCGGTCTGGCAGGAACCACTGATGTGAAGACGCAGTGAGGTTTGACAGCCGCTGGCTTTGGCACCATCTGTGTGATGGTGACCTCAGACTTTGCTTCTCCATGGATCATGGGGTTGTTGTGGGCAGAGTGAGTCATTGTGGGATTGTGATAGCATTGGTGTACAGGGGTCACCTTGATTTCCATCTGAATGGAAGTGCCCGACTTTGTCCCAATCGCTCTGACCATGCTCTAAAGTCAGCACCGTTGGTGCCTCTGATGCAAAAGCCAGCAGGCTCCTTTCTGCTCCTCCCATTGGGTCCTTCAGCAACATCTGGCCAGGGAGCCCTGCTGTGGGGAGGAGAACCTTTCCTCTGTCCCAATAGTAATCTGGTCTAATAATCAAATAGTCATGAGGCTGGTTAGCAAAAGAATATGACCAAGTTTAATACATACATATGTACTAATGGCCCGGTAATGAAATTTGTGCACTCGGGGTGGGGCAGGGAGGACCCCAGCCTGGCCTGTGCCCTGTCACTGTACAGGAGCTCCGTAATCCAGGAGGTAGGCTCCATCCACCAATCCAGGGCTCCTCAATGGATTGCCCCAAAGAGGTAGGCTGGAGCCAGGGGAGGCCTGCAGACCCCTGGGCCGAGACATGGCAGAGGACTGTGGACCTCAGCACACCTGCAGACCCCCAGCTGGGTGGCAGAGGAGCCTCTCCAAGTGCCTGCGGATCCCTGGGCTGGTGCGGGGGGAGGGGGGTGTCGGGGACGTGAGGCTCCAGGACAGCCCAGGGGGCGGGGACCTAGCCTGCTGATCTGCTGTTACGTGATAGTGTCCCAACCAATTTGCATATTATCCTATTATTAGATAGACTAGAGGCCTGGTGCATGAAATTTGTGTATGGTGGTCCCCTCAGCCCAGCCTGCACCCTCTTAAATCCGGGACCCCACGGGAGATATCTGACTGCCAGTTTAGGCCCAGGGATCAGGCCTAAATTGGCAGTCGAAAATCTCTCTCACAATCCTGGACAGCTAACTCCTGACTATTCATCTGCCTGCCTGCCTGATCACCCTAACTGCCCCCCTGCCAGGATGATCACCCCTAACCACCTCTGCCTGCCAACCTGATCGCCCCTAACTGCCCCTTCTGCTGACCTGTTCACCCCCTACTTCCCCCCTGCTGGCCTGGTAGCCCCAACTGCCCCCCAACTACCCTCCCCCCCTTGCTGACCTGGTCATCCCACGCAGCCTGCTGTTCGGTAGTTTGGTCACCCCTCACTGCACCCCCTGCCAGCCTGGTTGCCCCACGCAGCCTGCTGTTTGGTCGTTACTGTGAGGCCATCCTGACCAATTTGCACATTACCCTTTGGTTAGTATAGTTGGGAACCAGCATGCATGAGAGTCAGAGACCCCCACATGCAGGAGGTTCCAAGACAGAAAGGAAACATAGGTATATCGACATCCTGAGCCAGGGGTGAGGTGAGGTGCCTTGGGGGCTTCAAAGGGCCAATGCAGGGAAAGTGCTTGTTCATGAAAGAGAAGTTTTTCCTGGCATATACTAGTAGATAGGTCAGAAGAGGTTGCCTCTGATTGTCCCTTCTTATGGGCAAGGCCCCTAATTCAAGTTTTCTAGGTAATGAAGGGAGGAGCAGAAGTTTCTTTTGAGCCCACTGCTAAAGTTGCCTTTAGCTCAGAACAATCTACATACCCAAAAGCATACCTTGGGGTAACTCATTCTGAACCCCCATCCCCTAATCCTTCCTTTCTTTGTGCATTCGGGATTTCTGTGTGCAGAGGGTGTTCTGGGCCCCGAGGACACGGTGCGTCCTTCTTCACACCTCACTGCTCCTCCTCTGCCTGTGGTGGGAGTTCTGAAGTGTGGCAACCTGGCGCCCAGTCCCAGACCCACTTCTGTTCACCCTGAGAGATGTTCCCTCGGGCCCCTGGCTTTAGCACCATCCATGTGATGGGGATCTCAGACTTGGCTTCTCCAGCCCAGACCTCTCTCCTAAGCTTCAAGCTTATGTAGCCGACTGTCTCCTTGATGTGTGCACTTGCTGGTTATCTAGGCATCTTAAAATGAAATTCTTGATCTTTCCCCAGATTTATTCCGCTCAAAATTTCTCATCTTAGAAAATAATAACACCATTGGCCAGTTCTTCCTTTTTCTCATTTTTCACGTGAATGCATCAGCAAGTTGCATCAGTTTTGTTTCTAAGGTACATCCAACATTTCTTTTCATTGTCCCTGCTGCAGTGTCCTGGTCATGTCACTGCCAGCCTTTGCCAGCTCCACTGCAGAGGCTTCCAAGCTGGTCTCATTGCTTCAGCCTTATCCTCACTCTGATTCTTCCTCTTTATGGCAGACCCTGTCACTTGCCTGCTGGAAATCCTTCAGTGACTTCCTGTTGTTTCAGACCGTCGCCCCGAGTCCTTCTCGCCTCCACCCAACACTACAACCCATCCCCATCCCACTCTCTTCTCTGCTGGCTAAGCGCCAGTCACACTGGTTGCCTTTCATTTCCTCAGACTCCTTTCCTCCTTCTTGCCTCAGGACCTTTGCACTCCCTCTTGTCTGCCAGGGTTCTTCCATCTGCCCTTTGGTCCCTGACACAACTCAGATATCACTTCTTCAGCAAAACCTTCCCTGGTCACTCTTCACTGTTAGGTTTTTTCCACCTTCTTATTGACTCCCAATCACGAATTATTGTGGACTTTCTTGCACAATCAGAAAGTACTTGTCTATAATGACCCTGTTTACTTATGATGTCTTCTTAGAGAATGTGCTCAGTAAGGACAAGGTATTGGTCTCTCCCAAGGCAGTGCCTGACCCATAGTAGTAGTCACTAATATTCATGACGAGAATGGCTCAGCAAGTGAATGCCAGCCCCTAGGTGTTGTCGCTGAATCACTTTTCTAACCCCTGACTCCACCAAGAGTATTTCAGTTTTCTCTGCCGTCTATGGCCGGACAGTAGTGCATTATTTTTTTTTTTTACCGCTGACAGTGCTCTGTTGTATGAAGGTGCTACACTGTGTTATTATCCATTTGTTTGTTGAACATTTGGGATATTTATGGCTATTGACTATTGTGAATAAAGCAATTATGAATATTTATGTGCGAGTGTCTTGGGAACATATATTTTTATTTCCCTTGGATAAATAGCTGAGAGAGCAATGGCTGAGTTGTATATAGGCATATGTTTAGCTTTTAAAGAAACCAAAACTGCCCTCGTTGGTTTGGATCAGTGGATAGAGCGTCAGTCTGAGGACTGAAGGATACTTGGTTCGATTCTGGTCAAGGGCACATGCCCAGATTGTGGCCTTGATCCCCAGTAGGGGGCATGCAGGAGGTGGCCGAGCAATGATTATCTCTCATCAGCAATGTTTCTATCTCTTTCTCCCTCAAAAATCAATAAAAATATTTAATGAAGAAACCAGGACTCTGTTTTCCAAAGAGTTGTACCGTGGTGCATTCCCCACTTTCCAGTTGCTCCATCCACATCCTACTTGATAGGGTTCGTCTTTTCACTTTTAGATATTCTAATGGATGTGAAATGGTAGATTATTGTGTTTTCATTTGCACTTCATTCCTCTGATGTCTACTTTTGGATTAGATTTAGAAAAGACCTTTGTGCTTATCCTTTTTGGTGAAGTGCAACTTTGGGTTTTTTTCCTATTTCCATATACATCTTAAGAATCACCTTGACATTTAAAAACTATATTTTTATTGATTTTTTTATAGAGAGGAAAGGAGAGGAATAGAGAGTTAGAAACATCGATGAGAGAGAAACATCTATTAGCTGCCTCCTGCACACTCTCTACTAGGGATGTGCCCGCAACCTGGAATCGAACCTGGGACCCTTCAGTCTACAGGCCAGTGCTCTATCCACTGAGCCAAACTGATTAGGACCAGCTTGACATTTTTTACAAAAGTTCTGCTGTAATTTTTATTTGCAATTTTATTGAATTTATAGATCAATTTAAGAGAAGATGACATTTTACTAATATTGAGATTTCCAATTCATGAAAACCATCTGTCCATTTACTGGTATTTAGGTCTTCAGTTTCTCTCAGTGTTTTGTTTTGTTTTGTTTTAATTTGTTTATTTTTGTTTGTTTGTTTTTATAGTTTTTGGGATAGAGATCTTAATGTCATTTGTAAAATTTATTTTTAAATATTTTCTGGGTTTGATACTGATAAGTAGTCTATTTGATTTCATTTCCCATTTGTTTGCTATTAATATATAGAAAAATGGACTTTTGTGTATTGATCTTATACTTCCAACCTTGATACATTCACTTGTAAGTTCTGAGTTTTTATTATTTTATAGGATCCTTGGATTTTCTAGAGAGACCTGCCAATAGACATAGTTTTACTTTTACTTTCCCAATCCTTACCCTTTATCTCTGTGGCTTATTTCCTGTTTCTCTGGCCAGGACCTCCCACCATGTGCTGCATGGAATTGGTGACAGTAAACATCTCTGCTCCCCATGATTGAGTGATGTTAACTGCGGGTAGATACCCTTCATTTGGGCCAAAGAAGTTTCCCCCTATTACCAGTTGGCTGAAAAAAAAATTGATTGATTGATTGATTGATTGATTGATTAATTTTAGGTGAGGGACTGGTGGGGGAGAGATCTATTTGCTGTTCCACCTATTTATGCATTCACTAGTTGATTCTTGTATTTTGTATGTGCCCTGACTGGGGATGGAACC